TTTCACATAAAACTGAAAACACTTCTGATACATTCCGCCTTTGAATCCAAATCAGGGAGTGAAGAAATGTGTGGGTTTACGAGAAGATTTCAAAACTTATGATTTACTTTTCCTTTTGTGTTACAGAAAAATCAAAGTTTCTTGAAATTCTTTTTTTTTTTTTTTTTTTTTTGTAAAAGCTTTTTATTTTGTGTGTAATTTACTTTTTTATTGTTGCTTCTTGTTTCCTTTTGACCGCAACGGTTTCCGGCTGTTGTCGTTGGACACACAGCAATATAGGTACAATAACGGTATTTTTTATTTTTGAAAATAAAAGGCTTTTCAAAAGTTTATGAGTGTGTGTTCGTTTGTATGTATATGCGAGAGATTTGAAAACGGACGCGTTTAAAATGAAATTCAACTCGAAGGAGCGGAAGAGACGCGCCGCAACATACTTCAACACCGCACGACGTTTGAAATGAAACTGAAATGAAATCCACTTGACGTTGGCTGGCTGCCTTTACACTGCCTGTTGGCTGGCGGCTGCCTTTACACTGCCTGTTGGCTGGCGGCTGCCACAAACACGCTGCGCGGTCGGAGCGTAACACAGGCGACAGCGGAAGCACAACACGGCAAAAGGAGCGCGCACAACAGTTGGCCAAAACGAAACACAACCCAGCACAATAAGATACAGCTCGCCTGCCGTCGCCGAGAGTCGTCTACCGTAGTTGAATGGCTGGACAGACGAACGGCAGGTCGATGTCGACGTATGTGCGACGGTGTTTCAGCAGACGGCCGTCGAGAATTGGTGGCAAGTGGCTGCTGACACTCGCTATGAATTGTTCGCTGCTGTTTGTTGCTTTTATTGTACAAGTCACTGACTGTTGGTATCATGAATGAATGTGTGGCTAGACGACAACGGACGAGGGTTAAGCGAAAAATACTTCAAAAAAAAGGGGAATAAATAATGGCAAGCCATGCGAAGAGAAACAGTCAAAAGCAAAGGCGACAACAAACAGTCAGCAACCCCTAAACAAATGCCACACACACCCGCCTATGAAGCGCGCGCTCTCTGAGTGTTTGCCTCAAGCGCCCTAATGGCTCAGAGAGAACGCGCCTCTGCCATGCTCATAAATTATTAGTGTAAATGTTGCCGCTTCATTGCTCTTGCCACTTATGTACGTATGCTGCTTGCTGTCACAACACAGCCTAGTGACAAACGTACTGGTATGTATATAGGTATGTATGTATAAAATCCATGATGGGAAAAGCAACGAAGCGCTGTCGCAAACAGAAATTGGCCGACATGCCAAAGACAATGTGAACGCAATTGTGCGACAAGTGGCCAACAGTAGCAAAAATATAAATAACAGCAAATATTTGCGCTGAGAGCAAATCGAATTTCAAGCCGCTCTCTCCAACGAGCGTCAAAACAGCTAGAGCAAGCGATCCATTTGTGTTTGACTGTGAATTTCAATTCTCATTCGTTCATTCGTAAATATATTTATTCGAATGAAACTGCTTCTGTGTTTAAGAGAAGATTGTGTATTTCAAATAACGAATATGTAGTCTCCTCATTTTTCGCTATAATTCAATTTTTGACTTTTTGCTATAAAAAGGATGCAGTCGCATATAGAAGGTGATTTTTAGGCATGCAGTTTCAGGAAGGAATAAAACGCTTATAATTTAATGTTGTGTGCAAGAATTTAGCTTTATGATGCCAGCACTTTTGAGAAGATTTGGGGCAAATAACTACCGTGGCCATTCTTTCAGCAATTTGGGCCATATGTCAGAAATAACGGCCCGAATATTTTGTTCTCAGGCATCAATTATCCCTAACATATCGTTGGACGTATCTATGTCTGCTAAAGTCGTCAAAGTTAGAGCACAACGTTTCTTTATACATAAGTATGTTTACCTTTTTTTTCAGAATATACAAGTAATATGGTCTTTGGATGGGAATGAAGCATATGTATATCTTATATCAAGTCACTTGCTAAACTTTATGCTAGGTTGGTAAGACCTATGTTCTATCTATCTATGATAAATTTAATAAATTAGTGCAATATACGAGGTTGTGAAAAACTTGACACATGCTCCCAACTTGTATTTGGGATTACCTCCATATATTTTGGTTACGAAGCATTCGTCACCAAACATATTACATTATAAAGTTTCGCCGACTTATTTTGTGACTTTCGTGACGATTGAGACCCTAATATTTAAAGCTGGAACACTAACTTAAAATATAAATTGGGATGACACAAAAACAACACTTCTGAACCGTGTAAGATAAAAAAAAAAACACTGCTTAAGCCCTATTAAATGTCAATGAAATAGTATTGTCCATATTTTTATTGTTTAGTTCCAAAGAAGCTTATTTTTAAAAGTGAATATAAAAGTAAACTTATTTTAGTGTATTTTTTTCCTATATATATTACATTTTCACACATATAGCCCTTATGTTATTCAAATTCTATATTTCCCGAAAAATATTTTCCGACAGCAGCGTAATTGAAACACGAATCTTTTGAATATTAGGTCTATGGATTTAATTCTAGTGGCGCCTCTTCTTAGAAATAATATGAGCTTTTCAGTCTAGTTAATACCTAGTATATACATATATGATATTAACGTTGTAGATCTTGGCTAATGAATTTTCTAATGACTTATTGTATTTTCTATAAACAATAGCCGCTCTTAAAATGGCAAACTGCTAGCTTGATTCTTCACGTATGCCTATACGAAAATTCACGAAACGAAAACGAATGACTTTCCGTTCAGCCAGAAATTTCCAGCGCATTAAAAAGTTCAAGTCCACATGGTATATGTATAAATAACACGTATGTACGTACACACATCCGTGCGCTCTCGAAAGTATGAACTCGCGTATGTAGTATTTACACGAGCGCATCTCAAAATAGCGCACGCAAACGGTCAACAAAGAAAACAAATTCAAGTTCGCGCATAGATTTAGTGCAGACGGGACCCACATTTTTCGAATTCACTGTGCACTTACATATGTACATGGTTGTACATGGTATAAATATTTACATATATATGTATGTATGCTGTATGCACATATGCAATCAAAACTAGAAAAATATGCCAAATTACTTTGGATAATTTACAGCTTGCAGTTGTCTCCTTGCAAATTTACGTCTTTTAATAAATCTCTAACATGTTTTACAATAAACTGCGTAAATAATGATGATTTATTAAGGTAAATGATATGAAGATTTTTTTTAAGTATGTAACATAAATGAGAGCAAACCCCAAATACGTTATTCAGTCAATATTGATTTTTGCTATCACATACTACTCGTATATAGTTTTTTCCAATAAGAATGATGTAATATTTTTCAGAAACAAAATAAATTTTTTTTTATTAAATGTGAAATACAGTCGATAAAATTAAGTTTGGAATATCAGGTCATTCAAATGGCCTCCACGACTTCTTTTGCAAGAATGCATTGTAAGAAAATAATTTTGGAGTCCTTTTCCTCCTAAATGAAGTCGTATGCCATGAAAACCAAGATCAATATTGACTTCCAAAACTTGAAGATAGTCCGCTTTATTTTGCTAAAGACCAATGACTTCAAATAACCCCACAAGAAGTAGTCTAATGTTCTTAAATCACAACTTCTTGAAATGTTACCATTTCTTGATATAATCAAATCTTCAAACTTTTCTCACAGTAATTTGTTATAACGGTAATTTATAACACTTGTATTTGGGTAAGTCAGATATACGAAATAATTGGGTAGGGAAGTCTTTATTTGAGAATCTGGTGTAAGTTCAGGTTCAGTTTTTACCATGCGTAAATGGATCATACAAAATAAAATAAATCAATTTACCCGAATGAAATAAACCTTTCTTATGTAATATTTTTATATTTTGTATATTGTTTATACTTGATTGGCATTTACTTATACATCTAACCTTTACATGAGTAAATGAAGAATGTAGTGGGAAAACCTGTATATTTCTCCTTAATATTAGATTGTTAAAAAAGTCTTGCGGTATTTTCACTAGTTGGCGCTGAGAGCGCGTAGTTCTAGTTTTATTCGTCGCATCGGGTCATGCTATACCTTCTTGGAAAGCTCATTCCGCGCTAACACGTGTTTGATTGATTGTCGTTTCTTTTAAGTCGTTCGTGAGTTATAGCAAACATGGAGCAAAATAAACAGCAAATACGGCATATTTTACAGTACTACTACGATAAAGGCAAAAATGTATCTCAAGCCGCCAATAAAATTTGCGCAGTGTATGGACCCGATACGGTTTCCATTTCCACCGCACAACGATGGTTTCAACGTTTTCGTTCTGGTGTAGAGGTGGTCGAAGATGCGCCACGCTTCGGAAGGCCTGTCGTCGAAAATTGCGATAAAATCGCTGAATTGGTCGAAAGAGACCGGCATATTATCAGCCGTAGCATCGTAAGAGCTGGGCATGAGTCATCAAAAGAAATTTTATGCACAATTGAAAATTCAATAAAAATACCAAAATTAGATTGAGAATTTTTTGAAACTATTTGAAGTTTTTCCAATAGAACAATTAATGTTTGAAAATATTTTAAAAGGACGTCAGCGAAATATAAAAGAAGGTAGCAATACATCTAAAAAAGTTGACCAAAGTTGTACTTTGTCAAATTTTTCTATCAATCGGATAATCGGCATTGCTGTTTGGGAGCATACCAAATATGGTTTCCGAAAGATTTGTTCCTTCTGATGGGCATATTTTCCAGACTTCTAATAACTTCTGTCCGTGTTATAAGTATTAAGAAAAATATTTCAACCTTCAGCTGACGCCAGTTTTAGTTTTGTTCGGCCACAAGCTTTCTTATACTAGTTTTCATATTTATTCTTCCTCATTTTCCTATACTTTAAATTTTGTATACAAATAATGAAATGAGATCGAACGTTCAACTATGTTATAACTCACTAGAATTTCCAATATTTTGTGAAAATATAATTCCTTAAATTTTTGTTTTTATACTCTTGCAACCTATTTTCATAGAATGTAATAGTTTTGTTCACCTTCAACGGCTGTATGTATCACCTAAAACTAAGCGAGATATATATAGGGTTATACTTGTATGTACAAATGATCAGGGTAACAAGAAAAGTTGAAATCCGGTTGACTGTCTGTCTGTCCGTCCGTCTGTGTAAGCTGTAACTTGAGTAAGAATTGAGATATATCGATGAAACTTTGTAGGTTCCTTAGTACAAAAACATTTCCAGTTTGTAGATGGGCGTAATCGGGCCACTGCTACGCCCACAAATCGCCATTAACCGTAAACCTAATAAGTAATAAGCATCTAATAAAGATATAAAAAACATATTTGGCATAGGGGATCGCAGTATCCAGGAGCAGCCGCGGGAAAACGTTTTTGGAAAAGTGGACGTGGCCCCGCCCCTAATATTTTTAATGTAAATATCTTCTAAACCACTAAAGCAACAACA